GAAGGGAGGGATGAGTGATAGACTGTAATTTATAGGTCAGTTTTGAAATGTCACATTCTTCTGTTCTATTGTGCTTTAACTTATCTACCAAATGCTACTTTTGCTGTTCCCTTTAACTGTTATCATCTGTAGGTGAGGCAGCGCTGAGAGACGTGTGTGTATGTATGTGTGTGTATGTGTGTGTGTGTGTGTGTGTGTGTGTGTGTGTGTAAGTTGGAAGATAACTTTATGAGTTGAATTCGTTCAGGTTCGTTTGAAGTGGCCAGAATATTGGTGGAAAATGGTTGCGATCTGGATGCTTGTTCCGATGATCCTGGATGCCGGACATTGCTTCACAAGGCAATACGTCTCGGTTTACGCGATGCGGCGATTTTTTTGATTGAAAAGTACCACTGTTATGGGATTTACTTCTTTTTATCTACGTTGCAGAAACACATTGCCTTATTATTCATACCACTAGTTTTAGGGAATATTATTTGGGATAAAATAGGCAAGATGCGTTTCATAGCTTGCTTGTCCAGCTATTTGCCAGGCAGCTTTTCCGGTTGTTTTGGCCGAAGCTACTTCATCAAGTGCTTAACTTTCTGGCCATCCCGAGCCGTTCCCTTCCTTTCTTTGATAGAATTGTCAGCTCAGTGACTTTACCGATACTGGCAGTTGACAGAGTCAAGTCGCTCCGAAATGTCATTAGTGTATGTTGAGCATCACTACCTAATCCCGAACTCCTAGATAAAGGGCTGGGCTTTACCGACTGGAGGACCGTGACAGATTTTTGATTTCTTCGGTTTGTAAGATTAAAATATAAATTTACAAATATTTTTCAAAAACTTTTCAATTTTCAGTTTTACTGCAGGGGTTGTGATATTGATGCTCCGGTACAAGACTGTGATAATCAGAGCAGCGGTGATACACCACTGTTAGCGTGTATTCGTTCTGGCTTTTACGATGTTGCACGATGCTTGGTTGAGCGTGGTGCTCGACTCGATAAACAGGTACCATTCTGATAGTGTCATGTTGAATCGTAGTTGAGAAGGGAGAAAAACGCTCCAAATTATTTGCTATTTAATCCTAAATTTATAATTCTCACATATCTTCAATATATTTAGGTCTTTTTTTTCAATAATTTATATTCGCTACATTTTGTTGGCAGTGAAAAGGCATTTTTATCATAATGCTATGATTAGCTGTGTACCTTTTTTGCGACTGATTTGACTGGCTGTTTGTCTGGCTTTCTATGTTTTGCAGCTTTCTCATCCACATAATTCCACACAGCCGTTCTGGCTGATTTATCCACTTCATAAGCTGCCTTTTCACTGTGTCTAACATTACGTGTTACATACCAGTGGTCCAGCTTGTCCATCTTTTGTCTCTCATTCTCGCCACTAATGAAGTCCAGCTTTTCCAGACTGCAAAAACGGTGTTTTATTAGAAATATGCTGCAACTGTTATGCAGTTTGGCTGTTAGTCGCTAGAAGTGATAGGGACCTCGGCTTTCATGCCGGGGGCAATCAAATTGGGTTATGCATCGGACTAAGTTATTTCCACGTGTACGAGGCTATTTCAGGATGCGGAAGGACGTACATGTATTCATTTGGCTGTTCAGATGCAAAATAGCGCAATTCTGAATGTGATTTTGAGCAACTGTAATCCATCACTTCTTTTGGTTGTCGATCGTAACGGAAATACGCCGTTACATCTAGCGTGGATGGCAAAAAACTACCCAATTGCTGACGCTCTGATCAAAAAAGCGCCGGACTTAGTTACACAGGTTTTTTTTTCAAGTTTCAGTTTTTTACAGATTATTCTTTTTACATATTCGATGAAATACTTACCCTGACAAGGCAGGTTTGTTTAATTTACTTAAATATTTGGATCAGCTGTAATTCTTACTCTAATTTTTCGTCTGTGCAGCTGGCTGCACTTTTCTAGTTGTTTTAACCAATACTGCGTTTCATGATTGGCCTGTTGGCGATCCTGACGTTTGTTTCGTCCTCTAAAAGAATTATCAGCTTAACGATTCTCTGGACAGAAAAACTTGGCAAGGCTTTAGCTCGATTCCACATATCCCTTACATGTTTTAAGCATCATCATCTCAATTTGGACCGCAGTGAAATGCCTTGCTGGTTTAGGGATACATAGCATAAATGTCAGTTTATTATTAGCACTGACTGACAGTGATTAATTTGAGCAGTGATTAATTTTTTCCAACTTTTATCAGTGTTTTATTGGTTAAATTGCAGTTTGACAGGGACGGTGATACGCTGTTGCATAAGGCCGTAAAAACAGCTGATCTGGAATGGATACTTTTCCTGATAAGTGCTAATTCCGATGTTAACAGTCCAACACGCAATCCATCTCATCTCACTGCTTTGCATATTAGCGCACAAAGTGGCAGTGAAATTATCATGCGCAATTTGGTTGGTTTGAAGATTTTTTTCATGGCTTTTCTTATGACCAGAAAAGTTATGGGCGTCTCTATTTAGTTATATTTTTCGGAGCTTTGCTGGGAGTGTTTATATCCGGAACTGTTTTAGTTCAGAAGCTAAAATTTTTTGATGAGATTTTCTTTGCCCGTGTGCGAATGCATATTTTTGTAATATGTTGATAATTCCTCTCCGCGTGGTAGTTCCTTCAGGAGACGAAACGAACTTTAAGCTGACTACAAGGCGATGCATCGCTGGCCAGAGCTGCTGGAAAGTTTCCAGGTTCACAGCCCTAGAACCATACTAGAGGCTTCGGATGATCTTAGTATAGAAATTATATGAAAATTGTAAGGTGATGTGAATTATAAGAGTTTTAGAAGTGCGAATTACGATTATCACACGATGCAGCTCCAATTTCAGCAATTTTGAATGCCAGCTGAATTTTCTGTGCAGATTTTCCTTACTGTCGTAGAGCAACAGGCTAATCAAAGCCGCGATGCAGATGTTTGTTGCAGATTTTGGCTGGAGCTAATG